GATTTGTTCTGCAATTGCTGCTGTGTGCCATTACAATACCAAGCACCAGGTAATGCAATGATCTCTTAAGGTTGCATTATCACTTCTGCTCGGACACACAGACAGCGTAAGTAATGGAAAATAATCATACCACCAGCACACAGAAGTTGCTGCAGACAGCAAGGGTGGCCTGTATACAAACTGAGTGAGAAGCATGCTGGATTAACTGAAGGAGAGTAAAATATACACTAGTCCCCACAAAAGATGAATCTGGCCACCAGGTATTAATCCCCAAAACCCACAGTCGTTCCCAGTTTATATGGCTTTGCCTTTAAACACTGCATGCACTGCTTGAATCAGAAAGGGGGACTTGTCCACAAAGAATTCCTGCTCTGCTGGTACAGACAGTGCCTGCTGCCTGTCTCTAAAGACCCAAAGCCCTGTGGCACAGTCTGAAGTGCACCACTGCCCTTTATACTGGACTGCCACTGTTTTTTGGTGTGTTTAAGGTACAACTGAAGTTAATAACTTCTTTCAGCACAAGTCTGTAGAATCAAGAATGAGAAAGCATCAGCGTGATGATTGCTCACACAGTCTCAGCACAGCACCCTTGTTCTTATGCAGTATGATAGGGATGTTCCTTACATAGACATCTTCCTCAGGGCAGTACTCGCTCAATCAAGGAGTAATTATTTAACCACAGTGTCATCTCCTTCACACTCCCATTAAAGAAAATCTTATGCAAAAAGGTAAGAGCTTGGCTACGAGTCCTTGGCCCAAATATCCTCTTACCCATGCTGAGCTGCTTGCCAGGTCATCACTGTTTGTACTTCAGAAGTCTGCAGCACACAGACCATGCCAAATCCGAAGAACCCTCATTAAAAGAAAACCCTTAAGCCTAAGTAGGAAGTGCTCTCCATGCTTTGCTAATCTTGTCAAACTATACTGTACAGACAATTACAATTAATAAAAGTACTCTTAGGAAGCTTATTGACAATTCTGGAGCCATTGGCTTCTCTGCTTCAGGTAGACTCACATGAGGAAAACAGCAGGAAGTAAAAATTTCTCTTGTTACACTTCAGTTCCTCACAAACACAAAAAGGACTTCCCCAAGGCAAAGTGCCCCACTCCAGGCAGCAATTTAAGTGGTACAGATGTACCCAGGAACACCAGCTTCAATTTCTGCCTACCCAAAGGAAATACCTTTACTACCAGCACCTAAGCTTTTAACCACAGAAAAACACAATCCTTTTCTGCATTACTTACTTAAAGGCTTTTGAGGTGTTTCTTCTGAACGAATGAACAGAAAAAGCTCACCAGATCCAAGAACATCTGACAAAATACTTGTGTTGCCAGCAGTCAATACAGAGATGTGGAACAAAGTGGCCCACTCCTTCACTGCATTGTGCACCTACTACTGTTTGTAACTCCTCTGACTTAAAGCAGTGGTTCCCAGATAGGCCACTGAATGACTATTCAGTCATAGGTAAGTATCTTTTAGCACATGCCTATTTTGACAAAACCATAGTCATATCCAAAATTCTTTTGGTGAACAACACTCATCAAGTAAAAGATTTACTGAATTAGAATTCATGTGTAAAGCGTTCAACACTGTCCCACACGACATCCTTGTCTCTAAATTGGAGAGACATCAATTTGATGGATGGACCACTCAGGGGATAAAGAACTGGCTGGATGGCCACACACAAAGAGTTGTCAATGGCTCAATGTCTGGCTGGAGACCAGTAACGAGTGGTGTCCCTCAGGGATCGGTGTTGGGACTGGTCTTGTTCAACATCTTTGTCACTGACATGGACAGTGGGATTGAGTGCGCCCTCAGCAAGTTTGCCGATGACACCAAGTTGTGTGGTTCGGTTGATACCCTGGAGGGAAAGAATGCCATTCAGAGGGACCTTGACATGCTTGTGAGGTGGGCTGATGCCAACCTCATGAAGTTTAACCATGCCAAGTGCAAGGTCCTACAGCTTGGTCGGAGCAATCCCAGGCACAGCTACAGGTTGGGCAGGGAAGAGATTCAGAGCAGCCCTGCGGAGAAGAACTTGGGGGTGCTGGTCAATGAGAAAATGAACATGAGCTGGCTTCAGTGTGCGCTTGCAGCCCAGAAAGCCAACCGTATCCTGGGCTGCATCAAAAGGAGCGTGACCAGAAGGTCGAAGGAGGTGATCCTGCCCCTCTACTCTGCTCTTGTGACACCTCACCTGGAGTATTATGTGCAGTTCTGGTGTCCGCAACATAAAAAGGACATGGAGCTGTTGGAACAGGTCCAGAGGAGGGCCACGAGGATGATCAGGGGACTGGAGGACCTCCCGTATGAAGACAGGCTGAGAAAGTTGGGGCTGTTCAGCCTGGAGAAGAGAAGGCTGCGTGGAGACCTCATAGCAGCCTTCCAGTATCTGAAGAGGGGCCTATGGGGATGCTGGAGAGGGACTCTTCATTAGAGACTGTAGTGACAGGACAAGGGGTAATGGGTTAAAACTTAAACAGGGGAAGTTTAGGTTGGATATAAGAAGGAAATTCTTTCCTGTTAGGGTGGTGAGGCACTGGAATAGGTTACCCAGGGAGGTTGTGAATGCTCCATCCCTGGCAGTGTTCAAGACCAGGGTGGACGAGGCCTTGGGTGATACGGTTTAGCGTAAGGTGTCCCTGCCCATGGCAGGGGGGTTGGAACTAGATGATCTTAAGGTCCTTTCCAACCCTAATGATTTTATGTTTCTTTTTAGGAATAAATGATGACAGAGGACAAGACTAATAATCTAAATATGCGTACCTTCTTTTAGTATTTTTAAGGCATGATCAAATCCTCCTGGGGCCTTTCACAGACTGTCTAACCATCCAGCAGAGCTAAAGGCAATTCCCATGGTGCTCCACCCAACCCTTGCTCTTTCAGACATTTAAATGCATTCAGGTTTATTCACAAGAAAGCTTTTCTGAAGAACAAGTTTCATGTCTGAACCCAGTAATTAAGATTACCAATAGTTTCAGACACACACAAACTTGCAAAATCCATTCGATGCCAGAAGCAGGTATGGTGTGTTGCACCCATCATGGCAGAAGAGTTCAGAACTTTACAGAGAGAGCAGCCAGTGTGCAAAGAGCCTGGAGGTAACACTGCCGTCAAGTTTAGAGAGACAGGAATCATCATTGTCTCATAACAATTAAAAAAAACCTTTAAATTAAACAGTTATGAAGGAGAACAACAACTCTGGGCCATGTATTATGCTTCACAGGTTTCAACTAAACCATAAAGAACATGAAATTAAGACTCCTGAAAGGCCTAGTAATTTTGTTGCTGTATTTATATTATTATCATGATCAATTCCATTTTGATTTTAATTTTTTAATCCAGAGGTAAGTTACTTAATCCGTTATAAAACTGTAAACAGAGCTGAACTGTTTGAGGTTGACAGCCACATTAAAAGATAAAAGAATTAGTGGCATCCTATACTAACAGTTTAGTGAAAACCCAGCGTTACATATTAGCACCTGAAAATTCAATCAGAAAAGCTGTCAATTTGCTGTAGCTTTGAGACTCAAAAAAAACCCCCAAACTCACCCTAAAACAAATCTCAATTTAACGCACATATGCACTACTTCACTAAATTCACAGAGAACACAGTAACAACAGTGGTCAAAGGGATGTGTCTTGCTGGAGCAGAGACAAGTTTACATGAACTGTGTTTTGCAAACTGTCAGGAACCACCACGTGTAAACCCATTACTTTGACACCTCATCTTGCCTTACGATTGCTCTCTCAAAATTTAGCTCTGTTAAAACCTCCACTGCAAACCTAATCATGTATTAAGTAAACTACCACTGCTTGCAACATGGTCTCAAGAGTACAAGTAGAAAGACAGGAATTAACACCAGAAGTTACAAGAGAAAGGTGTCTTTGTTTGTTTAAGACTTACTTTGAAGATGTCATCTTGTGCACGACACTTTTGGCAGTCACCAACAAAAACAAATCCTTGCCATTAACGGAAGTAACTTTAAAGACAAGCAACCTGAGATCACTACACCTTCTTCTAGATTTTAACCACCACCCACTGGAATAAAAACAGCTATAGAAAGAAACTATGATTAACTGATGGCCAATCTAGAAAAACACATCACTAGCTAATGGCTTCACCTATAAATCAAGTCAATGCATGTTTAGATAATTTCTAATACCCTCATGAAGGAACTCAAAAACCTGCTACCACCAAGATGCCCCCCTTTTTGCACTGCCTTTTCCCATCACCTTACTTTATTTCATGATGGATTTTTCCCTAGACTTCTGTATCAAAGCTAGGGTTGTATCCTGCCCATTTTCCCACTTGGTATTAAAACAATTTAAACAGCGTAAACGGATTAAAACCACTCTCCTATGCACACAATCTCTTCTTGCTAGTAGCACAGTAGCATTTCCTTTGGCCTTGACTATGCCACTCACACCTACAAGGAACACTGCAGTAAATGTAATTTTCCAGACCTGTTCCTTTGACCAGATGCATCTTTATTTTCTTCTTAAGTCATAGGAGATGAGATCCTCGCCTATTTCATACTCCTTCTGAACACTGTCTCAAAACTACTATTTTGTCACAATGTCTACAAGGACTTTTGTACCAGTACCAAGCCTATTCTGTTGACCAGAATTGCCTAGGTGAAAACTACTCCTCTCTGCCTCTGGGACCACCAAGCACAGCAGAATCTCTGGTCTGCGACTGGCCTCCTGGGCTCTGTAATAAATACCTGTATTACTGTATGGAAGGGATACTCTAAAAAAAGCGTGCATTAAGTAAAAATAAGCTGCAACTTTGGTTTTAGATGCCAAAGCAAACAAGATTAGTACTCCATAAAGAAAATAACCAAGTTATTTACCACTTTGGAGTTCTACCAAGTATTTGATATAACCAAGCTAAAGCTGAGGATTTTAGTATATTTTCATTACAACTTGGTTTTGAGTAACTGGGTCTCAAGACAGCACTGTTCTTAGAAGAAAAAAAAGATGCAATCTCCAATACCTTTTCTCTACTTCTGGAGTAACAGTTGTTGATCATTCCATTTCACAACAGTGACCTTAACAAAAAATACTGAAGAAACAAGTATTTTGATAACAATTTCTCTGTGCTTAAGTGTTTCATAACAAATTTTGTGCTTGCAGAGACGCCACGGCATTCCGGACAGATTGTATTTCAAAATGGAAACCTATCAGGAAGGAATGTAGAGAATCATGCTTCCCAAATGAAGGGAAGACAGCTGATGGAAAAGCAGAGAACACACTCTACTAACGGTCCAGCCTTCCTTACTCTTTTAGTTGGTAAAATTGCACTGGCATTACTTTTGAAGTCAACTGAAGCACGCTGTATATAAGGAACCGTAAGTTGCCATGAAGACTGATACAGAAAGTCTTTTCCTAGGGGAAAATAAAAACACACCAAACAAGCCCCAAAAGAGTCTGCATGGGGCTGTTGGAAGGAAGAAAGGAACAACAGAAAGGAGGAAGAAATTACTACAAATCGGCATCTTTAATACAGGAAAACATCAGAGCTGTCGCAATTCCTACAAACTAAACAAAGAATCATACAGTTACTGTGGAAAAGGGGGAAGAGTCAAGTCAATTCTGTTTAGAGAAGGAAGTAAAGGGAATACTATGTCAAAATCAAGAGGAATTTAATTTGATGAAGGAGAATCTACATTTCAATTTAGCCTTTGAACCACAGCAGGACATGCCAAGGGACATTTTTCATTCCATGCTTGTTCTTTACCTGGCAACAAAAATCTAAGCTTTTCCCCTGCTCTTCACTTAAGAGTGATCTTAGTACTATGTCAGAAAGCCAGTTTTACTGTTTGCATTAGTTCACGGCTAAATGATGGTGGCCACAATACAACAGAGCTCACCACACTCATGGAAGGAATCCTACCAAAACTAGCACCACACCGTTACACTTCAGAAACGGCCATTAAGACACCGGTGGTCCAAAAGATCCTCAATTCAAGAAGAGAGAGGAAATGAAAAGCTGCATGTTTAGCTCCCAGCTGAGTCTGAAAGTTGCGGAAGGTATACATACCACTTCACAAGGAAAGGGAACAGGAAGCCAGGGAAGAAAAGAGTCATTATGTTCAAATGGTAACATTTTCGTGGGGTTGCAAAGGCCAAATGAGCATACCTCTGAAAAATGTGAATCCAAGCCTGGGTAAAGAAACAGAAAGCAGAATAAGTGACAGCAGATCGGGGGAAAAAAGAACAACAAGAACTTCAGAAGAGCAGAGTTATCAAATCAGAGAATGTATCAAAATAAAGAGAAAAATCCTAAGAGCTGGTGCACAAAAATGGAAGAGTGCAATTAAATTTGATACCAGCCACTAGATAATAACAGCTGAGAAAGCAAGAATAGATTTCTTTGGAAAAGCCTCTCCCACACAGGATGCTGTCAAAAGATAAGTTCAAGATTAACTACTACTACTTCTACTGACTGACATGGTTACTAAAAGTTTTTTCTTCTCTTCTTTTGCTAACAGTAAGCCATCGTGTCCTCAAGATTTATGAAGAAATTGAAGAATGTAAGGGCTGAGCAGAAAACAGAAATATATAATGCTCATTAAAGCAAGCTACTCCAGCACAGGTAGAAAGTGTTTGTGAAACATGCTATAGGTGACAGGAAAAAAGACAAAGAAAGAAAAATAAATAAAAATCAGTGAACTTCAGTACTAGAAGAACTTTTTTAACATTAGCCACACAGAAGCTCTTGCAGACCTGATGCTAGGCAAAAAAAGGAGCATAAGATAAGAAACAAGGAAAGAGAACCACTCTTATCCATCAGACCCAAACTCACCATTAAATGTAAATGCCCATGCGTCTTGGAGCATATCAGCTTAACAGTTTAAAGGAAGTTTATGTAGACTCACTAGAAAGGTCATTTTGTAGTCTATAACAAAAAATTCCAAGGAATATAAATTTCATAATAAACCTATTTACAACTATATGCACACATCCATTCCCCACCACTGAGGAGGCGACGAAAAAACCTCAGAGGAGTAGCAGAGGAGTTAAAAAAGACAAACTGATGCCTGACAGAAACAATATTGGATTAAGTCACTGGAAATTAACCACTTTTTAGGTTAATTCTTTAGCTTTGCACCTGGCTGAATGAGAGAGCTGTGTCGACAGACAAGCTACTTCAGTTGCTGTGCAAGTCAGCAAAACTCAGGTCTGCATGGAAAAAAAGTCTCTTCCCTGGATGACAAAAGCTCTCAGCTGACAAAGTCCCATCAGTAACAAGGCTAGCACTAACATGCTGTGGGGACAACAGTTCCATCAGTAGGATGCTCTGGATTCCCACCTGCCCTATAAATGATCTCCTGCAACACCATCTCTTCCAGCGTGGATGCCACTGCATTTCATCAATGCAGACAGCCATACAGTGACAGGAGCTCTGCAGAGCTCCAGCTGAACCAGCAGAAGTCTTTTAAATTAGGCAGGACCCCAAGAAGATGATCCTTCCATCAGCATACTATTACTCACAGTAAATGTAAAGAACATTTAAAAAACCCAAATGATATTGAGATCAAAAGTATGCAAAAAATACAGTCTTCTAATTAAAAAGAAGTTAGAAATACTGCCTAAAGAGGAATGGGAGTACTAAACTGAGTTACAGCTTTAATCGACACCTCCCCCAGAGCAGTGGGCAGAGATGACAAGCAATTAAAAAGTGAGCAAAAGAAGAGTTCTGTACAACAACTCTGAAGACACCGGTACAATCTAAATTAATACAAGGACAAGGGGGAAGGCAGAAAAGAGATTTTTATATCATACTTATTTGGTAAAATGAAAAGAAATTATTCCAAGTTTTAAGAAGAAAGGGATGAGGTTTTCATTTCAATTTCCTTGAAAGACCAATTAATGATCACAACTATAAATCACAACCATATTCAAACCAGATACACTATAAGCTATGGATTGGACAAAAGTTTTCTACCTACTTGAGATAGCTATAACCACTAAAACCATGTACTAAGTGTTCTGTGAAGACCATGTATCCAGATCTTCCCAATTCATTATACCTAGATGTAGCTTAATCTGCAAGGTTGTTTTGCTTTGCTAGCTAATTAATTGCTTTTCTTACCATAGGAAACATAAATAAATCACTTTGAATGAAAGCTTTATAAGATAATAATCTGCTCTGGACAGAGTATGATGCATATATACATCTGGGCATGTTCATGTATGTATAGATACACAGTTTGTATGTGGATGTATTCATAGAAAAACAAGCACACGTATATGTCCTGCTCTAAAAAAAAAAAAAGAACCCTGACAGAACTCAAGTTCTGAACTTGTCAGGTGGCAGACAAATAAAAGTTTCCAATGAAGCACAAAGCAAAGCTCTTGGAGCTCCTGGAAGTCAAGCCAAGTCACCTTGAATGCAGAGTGCCAAACAAACAGCAATCAGTATTTTATCCTGGATTGACAGTTCCAGCTTTAGCTTCTAGCGTGTAGATCCATGTTATGAACATACCTCTTGCTGTCTCTTCAGAAGACAAGCTTGGAAAAGAATTCTTCCGAGTTTCAATTACTTTCAGGTTGCCATGGACTGCAACAGGCTTACCTGCACTGCAGAACATGGGTAACTTCAACACAAGACTTGGCTTGTTGGCCAAGCACAGGAAACCCCCAAACAAGAGCAAAAGGAAGTTCTCTGGAACAAGAGGAAATTCTTTTGCTGCAGCATGCCTGGCTACTAAACCACAAAACCCATTCCTACCCCCTCAACAGCCAGTCACACGAACAGGGGGCAGAGCCCATCATGCCTCTGGCTGCTCCAAGAACTGCTGTTTCAGAGCCTCACACACATATACGCATCAAACCAATAGGGCAGACTGAGGGGCTACACTCCATGGCAGCTTAAAATACGCTAACTCATGGCTACCAGAAAGCAATCGTGTCCCTTATGCCAGCTCATATGTTAATTCAGTGAGCTGATTCAAAGAGCTAAACCAGTCATAAACTAACTACAAAAGCAGAATAAACAAACACATAAACAAACCACATCCAAACAATTCTCAGCCATTTCTAGTTCCCTGATCTGGCTCACTGTGGGATCCTCGGAGCCATTAAAAGAGTGAGTTTGCAATGACAGTGGCTGGGAAGACAAGAATCACAGTAACTGTGAGCATTTTGTGTTACCTGCCACAGAAACGTACACTGTGTTGTACTAACCTGAGACAGATCCATCAGTTTCAGTGGATCCATGCTAATGATCTCCCATTTCACTTTTACTGCTACTGAACCTATTTCTTTTGGACAACAAGCGTAATAGCAAGTTGGGAGGAACACAGAAGAAAGGAGAGGATAGTCTACAGAGTATTCTACTTTTAAGGTTTGTCTGTATGTCAAAAAAGCAAGTAATTTAAGGTCTGGAATGGAGTGAACAACCACCTTGATCCTATGGAGCAAATAGCATGATGAATTTCTGGTCTGCTTCAAATAAAGCACAAACAGGTTAGCTCAAACAGCAGAATAATCTACTTGTGAGTTCATTCTCTGTCTTGGCCTCAAGTCAAGAACAGTCATAAAAGCTACCCTAAGAGCAGAGCCAGGGCAGCAGCCAGAGGTAGAGGGACTGTGTCAAGCAGCTGGACTCAGTAACCTTTTCTATGAGCACAGCTGGAAAAAAACACTTTGTCAATAGCCTTTAGACTACTGTTCTTCTGCTTTGTGTATTCAGGTTAAAGCTTCTTATGGCACTGATTAGTTGTACTTACAAAGCCCCCACACCAACAGCACCATATAATGTAACACAAAAATGTTAGAAGAGAAACAGCAGGGGAAGTTGGCACATCTGTACCTGCAATGTAGTTAGAGAACATGAGGCTCTCGAACTGACGTATTCTAGAAGCAAACACAAAATTTGCCAAGTTTGGGTTTGTTTTTTTTTTTTTAAGATAAAAGGTTCTCTTCCATTTAGAATAACTACAAACATGCCAGATTTTAAAAAAGCCAAAAATAAATTAGTAACAGCATGAAGAAAAATAGCAACTCACAACAGAAGTGTTTAGACAGATTATTTTCCTTGCTCCCTCCCACCTTCTCAGCTGCATTGAAAGATATATCAATGTGGACTCAGAAGTATGCCATTTGAAGCTTAACTGTCTGACCCTTATAGATGTCCAACATGAAGACATGGTCTATAGTGCAAGGTTTTGAAATCAACTCATTCTTAAATATTTACAAATGTCTAGCGATAAAGACCAAATACACAAACCCACGCAATATTATTCTCTCAACAGCTGCCACATATTCCAATCCATCATTTCTAGGTTTTAAGATCGAGTTTAAGACTCTAGTTTTTAAGATCTTCAGTTACACCAATTATAAACCAAAATACAGACTCAGAAGGACAAAACACTTAACTCATTAGTGTTTAACAATCTTCAGAAGATATTTTCTACATGCAGCATTTCCAGTGAACTCACTAGAAGCTACACCTTTCCCTGTACTTCCTGTAACTTGTCATTTGACTTCATTTAGACAGCCTGTTGAAAGGCTTTTCCTCAAACACATAGAAAAAACCTCTTTTGCTATCTACTACCTACAAAGTTTGTATTACTAGGAAAAGTGGAATGATCCTGCCCTCTTGTCACTTTAGATCTGTTTTCTGTGGTTTAAAAGGCTCGTTTTTATGTGCAACTAATGGAGAACTTCTTTCTTCCTTTCAAAAAATACTTCCCACTCCTGTTGACTCTATTCTCTTAGTCTTCCCTCCTTTATTTAGCCCATATGGGTATATTTTTCCAACATTTGATCAATACCTCTCCTTTTCTATTATTCCCCATTCTTTCTCTCTCTCCAGCTCTGTTCCTTACACACATCTCCCTTTACTAGTATTTTCACAATGACAGTTGCCCCTAATACCACACAGCATTTGAAACTGGAGATACCGTTTGAAACTTCAGCTCCAGAAAGTGATAAGCCTGAATATTTTTCCATTGTAGCACAATGTAACCCCGTTTTGAGTAAAAGCACAAGGATCACAGCTCTGTCCATGAACATCAAAAGCACAGCACTGCATTTCAAGTTAACCATTTAAACCCAAATCAGAACATATTCTGCAGAAATCTGAATTTAGGGAAGCCCATTTTACTGCCAGTGGAGAAGCTAAAAGACATGATTATATACTGGTGTTTAATTAC